CGGGCAGGGCGGGCTGGGGGCCTTACAGTCAGGGGTGGCCTGGGATCGAGCCCTGAGGCGGGTACGTACTGTCTTTCTGGGCTCTTTCCTGACTCGAAGTTTCTCCTTCCTTTCCTACTGATGGGAGTGAGGGCAGCCCAGGGTCAGGGGCAAGAGGGCAGGGAGCCAAGGCAGGAGGTCCCCAGCCCCCCCCCCCATCAGATGCTGGGGACCGTCCCTGAGCCCCCATCTCCCTCTGCAGCAAGGGTAGGCCCGGCCTGCCTTCTGGGGAAAGGCCCCAGGCAGGCGCCAGGTTGAGTCTGGATGCGCTCGCTCGCTGAACGCTCCTGGACAAGGCCCCCCGCTCCGGGTCTCCGTCCCCCGTCTCCACCAGGAGGGGTTGGGTTGGTTCTTTCCACCTGTAAGAGGCTCTGCTTTAGGAGCCTGCGCCCCTGTGGCCCCGACCCCGGGCACAGCCCCGCGTTGAGGTTACGCAGACGCTCTGCTCTGGGAAAGGACAGTCAAGAGGCCCCCAGCCCGGCCAAGGGCAGAGAAAGTCACAGCCTTTCTCGGGACCGCGGGGCCTGGTCCTGGCCTGTGTCCTTGAGGCTGTGCAGGGCAGGGATCCAGTCCCCCAGCCCCAGCCCCCTCCCAGGCCGGCTTTATCTCAGTCGCTGATTCTCAGCCTGAGGCCCTTAGGGGACAAATTTAGCCGCGTCCAAGTAGGCAGATACCCGTCCCTCGCCAAGACCCCAGATGGCGGGGGGAGCTGAGCTCCCGGGTTTCCCTGGGCGGGTCACTCTGGGATGCACTTAGCAAAGGTCTGGTGATTAGGACCACGGCCCTGGCTTTCCCGCCTACTGGCTGTGTGATTTTGGTAACGCACTTAACCTCTCTGAGTCTTGGTGCCCTCATCTGAGAAATGGGCGTAATAACGACACCTTTCATTGGAGCAGGAAATGAGGTGATGCGTTCAAGGGCTTATCACCGTGTTGAATAAGAGGGGCCACAGGGGTGGGGTGCACGGGCAAGCCAGGGCCCCCGCAGCCTCTATTGGGCCTTCAGTCTCAGCCTTCAGCAAGAAGCCGCGGTCCGTGGAGGTGGCCGCCGGCGGCCCTGCCGTGTTCGAGGCCGAGACAGAGCGGGCAGGAGTGAAGGTGCGCTGGCAGCGAGGGGGCAGTGACATCAGTGCCAGCGACAAGTTTGGGCTGGCGGCCGAGGGCACGCGGCACACGCTGACAGTGCGGGACGTGGGCCCCGCGGACCAGGGGTCTTACGCAGTCATCGCGGGCTCCTCCAAAGTCAAATTCGACCTCAAGGTCGTAGAAGCAGGTAAGACGCTGGTCAGTCTCCCCTGAGGTTTGAACTTCTGGGGGTTTGGGCAGGGGCAGCCCCGCCACCTCTCCATTGCCCGGGGCGTGGGAGGTGCTTTCCCATCTCTCGCCTTTGCTTTGGCTGTGCCCTCTGCCAGGAAAGCCCCCCTCTGCTGGGAGAGAAAGGCCTCTCTGAGTGCCCCCTGTGGCTCCCTGGCCTATCCAGCCACTGTGGAGGCGGGGAAATTCAGAGATGAGCAGTGCATAAGGCTGCCCTCCCCCTGGACACCCACACTCGGCCCGAGGGTGTGCGCCCCAGGGAAGCCCCGGGGGCTGTGGGCGCGGAGGGAGCCCAGCTGGGGGCCTGGGCCAGGGCAGAGCCTGGGGAAGGAAAGGAGGGTGGACGCCAGAACTGGTCAGAGTGGACCCACCGACGTGAGCACAGAGGGTGTGAGCCGGGGAAGCCGGTGCTGGCTCCCGCTCAGTGTGCGCCGCCCAGAGGGCTGCATCCAAGCGAGATGCCCGTGGACAGTGGGTTCCTGGGCCTGATGCTCGGGAGAGACAGGGCCGAGGAGGGGGCCATGAGCTCACAGAGGTGGTGGGTAGAAAGGGAGAGAATTTAGGGGAGAGACAGGGTCATGGCGGGTGAGGAAAAGGGAGGAACCAGGTGAGCTGTGCACACACCGCAGTATTTAATGCAGCTACAAAGATGGAGGCGAGACCTGGGGCAGGAGGGTTCTGGGTAGAAGCTGCTCCACAGCCCCTACCCCATTCCCTGCAGAGCCGGCAGAGCCCGTGCCAGCCCCTGCCCCTGGCCCTGCCCCTGCCGAGGCCCCCGGCGTTCCCGGAGAAGCCCCGGCCTCAGCCACTGAGGGGGAAGGAGGCTCCCCGAGTCCCGAAGGTGAGAGGGCCGGGCAGGGAGGGCCCGGGCCAGTGTGGGGTGTCCCAGCACAGGTCTCAAAGGCCTCTGCCCACAGGGTCAAGTTCAGCAGCCACCAATGGGCCCGCTGCCCCTGATGACCCCATCGGCCTCTTTGTGACGCGGCCACAGGACGGCGAGGTGACTGTGGGTGAGTGTGGGGCTACTGCAGCCCAGGGGGGAGGGGAGGGCGGCAGCAGAGCCTCCCCCAAGCCCACTGCCACCGTCTCCTGCAGGTGGCAGCATCACCTTCTCGGCCCGCGTGGCCGGGGCCAGCCTCCTGAAACCGCCCGTAGTCAAGTGGTTCAAGGGCAAGTGGGTGGACCTGAGCAGCAAGGTGGGCCAGCACCTTCAGCTGCACGACAGCTACGACCGGGCCAGCAAGGTGGGCACGGGCCCTGCGCCCTGGGGTTGTGCGGACACATGGAAACTGGGGGGCACACAGCGGTATAAAGAAGGGGCATGGGGAGCCTGGGAAACTCCTTCCACGCCTGTGAACCTGGCCCAGGGGCGGGGCCTCTGGCAGGCAGGCCCACAGGGTCAGTTGTGTGGCTGTGCTGTCGGTTGTGTGGCTGTGCCGTTGGTTGTGTGGCTGTGCTGTCGGTTGTGTGGCTGTGCCGTTGGTTGTGTGGCTGTGCTGTCGGTTGTGTGGCTGTGCCGTTGGTTGTGTGGCTGTGCTGTCGGTTGTGTGGCTGTGCCGTTGGTTGTGTGGCTGTGCTGTCGGTTGTGTGGCTGTGCCGTTGGTTGTGTGGCTGTGCTGTCGGTTGTGTGGCTGTGCCGTTGGTTGTGTGGCTGTGCTGTCGGTTGTGTGGCTGTGCCGTTGGTTGTGTGGCTGTGCTGTCGGTTGTGTGGCTGTGCCGTTGGTTGTGTGGCTGTGCTGTCGGTTGTGTGGCTGTGCCGTTGGTTGTGTGGCTGTGCTGTCGGTTGTGTGGCTGTGCCGTTGGTTGTGTGGCTGTGCTGTCGGTTGTGTGGCTGTGCCGTTGGTTGTGTGGCTGTGCTGTCGGTTGTGTGGCTGTGCCGTTGGTTGTGTGGCTGTGCTGTCGGTTGTGTGGCTGTGCCGTTGGTTGTGTGGCTGTGCTGTCGGTTGTGTGGCTGTGCCGTTGGTTGTGTGGCTGTGCTGTCGGTTGTGTGGCTGTGCCGTTGGTTGTGTGGCTGTGCTGTCGGTTGTGTGGCTGTGCCGTTGGTTGTGTGGCTGTGCTGTCGGTTGTGTGGCTGTGCCGTTGGTTGTGTGGCTGTGCTGTTGGTTGTGTGGCTGTGCCGTTTGGTTGTGTGGCTGTGTCGTTGGTTGTGTGGCTGTGCTGTTGGTTGTGTGGCTGTGCCGTTCGGTTGTGTGGCTGTGCTGTTGGTTGTGTGGCTGTGCATCGCAATAAAGTGCCTCATCTTCAGCGAATGCCACTCGCCTGGTAGCCATCACAGATTTCTGTTTTCTTACCATCCTGTGCCAGCAGATGGCAGTGTGAGTCTTGAGAAGGGGCTCCTTTTGCTATTTACACACAACTGCACGGGCTAACTTAACCTTGAAGGGTGAGAAGGTCGGTGGCCTCTAGCCACCCCCAGTCTCCTTCAGGGGTGAGGGCCTCGTCTTTTGACCCCCATCTCCCCGACACCTCACCCCACAGGTCTACCTGTTTGAGCTGCACATCACCGATGCCCAGGCCACCTCCGCTGGCGGCTACCGCTGTGAGGTGTCCACCAAGGACAAGTTTGACAGCTGCAACTTCAACCTCACTGTCCATGGTGAGGGCCCGGCCCCGTCCTGACCTCGGGCTCCCCATGGGTCTGTCCGCGGCACCCGCCTCCGTTCCCCAGCACCAAGGAGGGTGCCTCCTCCCGGCCAGACAGCGTTGACCACGTGCCCACACTGCCCATGCAGGGGCCCGAGAGAAACCCCGGGAGGCTTCCAGGGCGGGGCTGGGTGACGGCCAAGTGCAGATCTCGTCTGGGTCTTGTCTTGGTGTCCTGGGCTCCTGGCAGGGGAACAGGTGAAGGGCGAATTGAGGGAGAGTAGGAGCTCCACCACTTGTGCTGAGGGATTGGGGATCCTAAACCGCCCCCTCCCTGTACCCCAGCCCCGGGCAAGCTCAGGATGTGGGGTCCTGGGGTAGGTGCCCCCTCTCCATGGGCCATGGATGGGCAGTCTGTGACCCTGGGATGGCCCTCGCCGAAGTCCCTTCCCTGACTCATCTCCCTCTTTGCACCCAGAGGCCATCGGCCCCGGAGACCTGGACCTCCGGTCAGCTTTCCGCCGCACGTGAGTGGCCACCTCTCCTCAGGGCCTGGGGAGGCCAGCCTGGGGGTCCAGGCTGGGGGTGATGTGGGGGGGTCAGGGCTGG